GTATAAGATGACCCCCCACTTGGAGGCATATTTTTCAGGGCCAAAAAATCGTCTTATACGCCGGCAAATACGGTAAAGCAATTTAGATGGTCACTGAAATTCATATTATTTCATTCCTGCTGTGCAATGGGTTTTGTGGCCAAAGGCAGACTTTAACTGTATCCCTTGGATTCTCTCCTGAATTTAGTATCTGGTGTATAATATGTCACTTTCGAAAGCTTTCCATATTTCCTATTTCAATAGGATTTACGTTATATGAGTTTGCTGATGATTAGTGAGCTTTGACATCTACGTGAAGGCTTTACTATACTAACAGCAGTTCCTCCTGTATGAGTTTGCTGATGGAAGGAAGATATGCATTAATTGGGAAGAGTTTACCACATTCACCACATCTACAGGGTCTCTATCCTGTACAAAATGCTCAAGGAGTTTTGACTTTTGGGGGAATGTTCTCACTATCAAGACATTCCTGAAATCTTTATTTTTATGCACACAGAATTGAGATTTTTCTTGGTTTTCCTGCATTTGCCTCAATGGTAGGATCCCTCTCCTGAATGAATACCCTAATTGATATTGGGTTGTTGTAAAAGTCATGATGCATTTTTGCAATGAAAAACACAGAAAAAATACGTCATGTCTTTTCCAACAACCCAATATGACTGGAAAAAAATTATTCCTTACTTTCACCACATCCACAGGTGTTGCCTCCTAAGTGCACAGCCTCTGACTCTCAAATGAAGCCTTTTGACGATCACTACATTTATGTTTCTCCTTTGGTAAGATCCCAATGGTATAACGAGGGGAATGTCTTCAAATGGAAGGGTTACAATTTTCTTTGCATCTATAAGGTTTCTTTTGTATAGGAGTTCCAGAAAAGTCTATTCTAAACACAGCATTTATGGCATTTCTATTCTGTTTGAGTCTATGAACAGATATGACTAATCAAAAAAGCCTTCTCACATTCCCATTGAGGATTTCCCTCCGTGCTGAGTTTGCTGATGATTAATAAGAGCTGATTTCCGAAAGAAGGCTTTTTGACATTCATTGCATCCATAGGGCCTCTCTCCTGTGTGAGTTCTCCGGTGACTAATGAGAGTTGACAAAGTGGCAAATGCTTTCTTACAATCACAGCATTCGTAGGGTTTCTCTCCTGTATGAATTCTCTGGTGTACAGTGAGATAGGATTTAGCTGTGAAAGATTTATCACATACACTGCATTTGAAGGGTTTCTCTCCTGAATGGGTTCTCTGATGTATAGTGAGAGTTGACTTACAGGACAAAACCTTCCCACATTCACTGCACTCATAGGATTTCACTTTTGCGTGACAATTTTGCAGATGGTTAGTGAGGCCTGACTTCTGAATGAAAGCTTGTTGACATTGATTACAACCATAAGGTCTCTCTCCCGTGTGAATTCGCTGATGAATCATGAGATGTGCCTTAGTAGAGAAGGCTTTCTCACAATTCAAGCATTCATAGGGTTTTTCTCCCGTATGAACTCTCTGGTGTACAATGAGATGGGCTTTTGA